ACATACCCATATTGACTATTTGTTCAAGGCTATGGTAACCCCTATTTGGGTGAAGATGGGGCAGTGCAGCTGTGGGGGGGAATTTCTAAAGACCCTGAAGGTGGCTAGTAGAGGGCAGTCTGTAACTGAGGTTGGAGGAGCAGCCCTCATTCCAGCAGGTAGTGTGAAAATTTGGTTGGTTAGGGTTATGAAGATGTAGTTAATTGAGAGAGATCCAGTTTGTAAAGTCTGTCCCTCTTGGATCAGATTCTGTATGCTCCAAGTTGTGTGGTTGCTATTAGTCTCTAGCATAGATAGTGGGATGCTAGAGTGATGATACAGTAGGCCATAATTATTAGCCACTTTAAAGTTGTTGAGCCTTATGATGTCATAGTAGTCAGATGTAGATGGTAGACTCCACATTGGTAAGTTGGGTCCTACATAAGTGGCTCGACCATGTTTTTTTCATGAAGGCTGTAATTTGAGATTGAAACCAGATATTATAGCTGACTGGCAATAAAGGAATTAACATGGGTTTCCTAACAGCAGATCACATCAATGTTGTGGCAGGAGGCAATGTTTTCGAAAACAGAGTGCTTTGTGGCTCTTAGGCAATGGACATTCAACTATAGCATCTTGAGGAAAGGATCAAAATGTATAGTATTTCCTTGTCTTTGTCTATATCCTCGGTAATTGTGATCCAGTAATCTGACCACAATAGATTTTTAACCACTTGTTATATACTGCGGTGCGTTTCCTCCCATTTTGTTTTAATACACATTGAAACGGGTAATGATGAGTGTGCTTATGTGAGTTTTAAAACTGCTCTCACAGATATCTTACATGATCTCTGCATGGGCTAGAATGTGCAAAATCCTTGGAAAAGAATTTCAGCAGTACCTTCCTGTCGTCATGGGGCCTTTAATGAAGACTGCGTCAATTAAGCCTGAAGTTGCTCTACTAGACAGTAGGTTATAACGATTACTTTGTTTTGAAAAATCTTTGAAATAAAAGATTTGGCAGCATTTGTAGAACTTTTTTTTTCTTTCTACAACAGCCCAAGATATGGAGAATATGAGTGATGATGATGGTTGGGAATTTGTAAACCTAGGAGACCAGCAAAGTTTTGGAATTAAAACTGCAGGCCTTGAAGAAAAAGCAACTGCATGCCAGATGCTGGTGGGTAATGGGAAATCTTGGTCAGCTACTTCTTGCTAGGTTTTTTATGGAATTAAATTAATAGTTAAAAGTCAATAATGATTAAATCTGAATCCCATATATATAAGTATTTTATTCTTGCAGTACTAGGGTGTGGTTGGGCAAACTTTTTTGTGGCCAAAGATAACTCATTCATCCTCAACTTAGTGCTCGCATTCAAATTTAAGTAGTTTTCATTTTTAGGTTCATATTGCTGCAGTTTAGGTTTCAGACTCTGCAGATGACTTAAAAATACGGAAACTTGTTTTCTATTGGTCTTAAGTTCTGTTAACTTTTATAAAAATTAAGCCTTGGGACAAATGTAATGAGTCCTTTCAGATGTCAGCAAAAGGAGCCCTAGAAAAAGAATTTTCTATTACGTATCATAAAGTATACACATTTAGTCTAAGATATTCAGCCACTAGTGAAAAAATATACTCTGCCATCTGGCTCTTTCCAAATAATATGAGAAAGTGGTAAATAAATGCATTCTAACGTGGCTTTTCCATTATCTCTGACCTTAATCTGGTTGTCTACTATCCTCCTTGAACATTTCATAATTTAAAAATTTTAGTAGTAATGCTTTTTACCTAGTGCTGATAACGTTAAAATTACCTTTTTTGTTTCAGGTTTGCTATGCTAAGGAATTAAAAGAAGGATTTGTGGAGTACACAGAGCAAGTTGTAAAACTGATGGTTCCTTTGTTGAAATTCTATTTCCATGATGATATCCTTTTTAATATAAAAACAATAGAGATTAACTAGCAGTTTTACTTCTGAAAAACTCAAAACTTCAGCTGTGCTAGTCATCTTTCCATGAATATGGAGGAAGTTCAACAGTGTTTTATTCTAGTATCAGGAAGGTGTCTCTATAGCTAACCTCACTTTCAGTATTGTATAAATCGGGAGTTTAAATTTCTCCAACCTGATCCATTGCAAGCAAGGTGTCAGTCCAGCAATAAATACTACTTTGACCAATTCTTTAAATTCTTTGTCCGTTGGCTTGGGCGTCTAGTTTCAGTACATATGCAAATTAGAGTTTGGGTCTTAACTTCCTAATCTTACAGTATGCACTCGCCTCTGTATCTAGTTCGTCCAACTAAAAAGCAGCACTGACTATCCCTAAATGTCTGCCTTCAGCTCTTATCTGATGAAAAGCCTCCATAACATAACTCAGAGAGTGAGGAAGAAGTAAATAGGGTGGGGAAATGTCCAAAACAACGTTGAAGTATTATTTTGGTAGCTGTTTACTAGTCTTGCTACAATGGGCAAGGACAATTTTTACAACCTCAATATTTAGCATATGTTGTTGTGCTTCTAGATCATAGCTTTATTCAAATTGCACCATTAAAGGAGGCTGTTAGCTTTGGCAAAAATGTGCTATATTTAAATTTATGTATTTCTCCAATACTTTGGTGCTTGTCAGGTAAATAGTACAGGTACCAGCACAGTCAGTTAACATGACAAATATTTTTTATGCCTATCTTTCTAAGCTAGTCCAGTTCCTTTGGCAAATATGGCTTTTTTGGTTCTTTAAAAGAAAATTAAATAAGTAAATGTTAGTTGCAGCATGAATCAAGAAGCCAAGGAAATGCTTAGATAGCTCTTCTTCAACCTTAGTTTACATTGTAAATCTTTAAAACTTTTATATGGCAAACATAACTTTTTTACATCCAGTCTCTTTGATTAAATGTCTGGGTAGTTATGCAAATGAGTATGTTTCAGCTTGGGGTGACTGGTCATAGTTTAAGATGGGAATTTAGTACCTTTTTTTGTAGTATGTTTCCTGATGCTCATGTCATAAAAGTACTTCAGTTTGATCTCAATTATCCAGTATTTCCTTAATAATCAAACGTGTTCGTGTGGCAGCAGCAGAATCAATGCCTCTTCTCCTTGACTGTGCTAGAGTTCGTGGGCCAGAATATCTCACACAGATGTGGCATTTCATGTGTGATGCGCTTATCAAAGCTATAGGGACAGAACCTGATTCAGATGTACTTTCAGAAATAATGCATTCATTTGCAAAGGTGATCTTTTTTTCTTCATAGAACTGTTTATACCATTATCATTATTATTATTGAAAACTTTGTGTGTGTGTGTATATATATTATAATTTTTTTTTAGTGTTAAGGAAATTTAGTGCTTGCCATAAGTTTAAATTACTAATACAGGAGATTTTTCCAAGAGATACCTATCATTTGACTATATATTTTGTTAGCTTAGTTTAATGTGATTAATTTTCATAGCTAATTATTGAAAATGTCTATTGAATCTTATAAACGTAATTTTTTCTGGATTAGGGAACACAATTTTTCACTTGCATAGATAACATTTATTTAAAAACATTAATACTGAATATCAAACAAAAGTCTAGAAAAAACACTAAACAATTTTTACTTATAATGTGGATCTAACCTGTAAAATGTCAGTTCCTCAATTTTATAAGCCTAGAATTAATATGAAAATTCTTTTAAAAAAAAGTTTGCTACTTTGTCAGTGGTAATCTGAAGTATAGCTCTAGTCAGTGTTTTCAATATGTTAAAATTTCACTGCCACTATTTGAGTAGTGTTTAATGTTAAAAACTTCTATTTTGAACATACTGTATTTCACTAGTGCATTGAGGTAATGGGAGATGGATGCCTTAACAATGAACATTTTGAAGAACTTGGAGGAATATTGAAAGGAAAACTAGAAGAGCACTTTAAAAATCAAGAGTTAAGACAGGGTAAGTTAGTGCCACCTTCTGTGTATTAGAATAAGTTTTATAATTTGCACTAAAGATAGCTCTCTAGAGCAAAGATTCTAAACATCTCATATTGACTGCTTGTTGAGTTATCCTCTCCTGAGTTACCTCACCTTGAGATCCAACAGCAGTAAGCTGAAACTAGATACATTCAGACAAGAAATGAGGTGCAAACTGTACTAGTAATTGACCTTTGAAACACCTTACCAAAGGATGTATTCTCCATCATTTGAAATCTTTTCCAAAAAATGTTGTAGCTCAATCAGAAGTTGATGTGGAAATCACTAGATGAAATTCTAAGACAGTCAGACTAGATCAGTGTTTCTCAAACTGGGGTTGCCGCTTGTGTAGGGAAAGTCCCCTAGCGGGTCGGTTTGTTTACCTGCCCCGTCTGCAGGTCCGGCCAATCGCGGCTCCCACTGGCCGTGGTTCGCCACTACTGGCCGTGGTTCGCCACTACAGGCCAATGGGAGCTGCCGGAAGTGGCGGCCAGCACATCCCTCGGCCTGCGCCACTTCCAGCAGCTCCCATTGGCCTGGAGCAGCGAACTGCGGCCAGTGGGAGCTGCAGTTGGCCAGACCTGCGGACTGGGCAGGTAAACAAACCGGCCTGCCAGGGGCTTTCTCTGCACCAGTTTGAGAAACACTGGACTAGATCAGAATTGTCCCTTCTGGCCTTAAATCTGTGACAACCTCCCAATCCTACAGCAATGACTGTTTTTAGTATCCTTTTTCCCTGCTTTTCTGGTCTATTTGCTTTTCCCAGACCAAGGTTGCCCTTCTCCCATGCTCCCTCACATACTTGCTCCTAATCTGTTCAGTGCATTTTCCTTACTTGCCCAATGTCTCCTTCAGGCACTCTGACAGAAGGTCCTGAGTGCTTCACCCTGCAACTGTTTCTGGGGTCCTCTTTTATCCATTACTGCATTTTTATCAGCTGTTCCTGCGCTTTTGCAGGAGTGGGTCCTAGAGAAAACATCTAAACCGTACAGTTTGCACTTACTCCTTTTAATTTAGTGAAAAGACAAGATGAAGACTATGATGAACAAGTTGAAGAGTCATTACAAGATGAAGTAAGTTATTTCCTTTTTGTTTGTTTAAAAAAAAAAATTTTTTTTAGACACTTTCAAATTCCACAGAGCAGCAGCTATGTAGAGACAGACATTACACCACAGTGACATGCTGCTGAATTGAAACAAACAACACCAAATCCTTTGAGACTTGCCCATATGGATCCCCAGTATTGGAGAAGTGCATCTTTGACATGTTTCCTCAGAAGTTTCTAACAAGCATTGTCCATTGGTGCTACACCATGTGCTGGAACTTGAAGATATATCCTAACTGCTGATGGAACAGGTTTAGAGCAGAGCTTTTCCTTATTTCCTCTTTTGAAGAGCTTTCCTCTTCTAAATAGGATTGCTTTTTAATACTTTTTCAATCATTGTTCTATTCCAAGTATTGTCCAAGGTTCAGCCCAGTTGTCCTGCTTTTTCATCTTTGTGCTTTTTGGGCCTGCGTGGTGTTGCTAACCCAAGCAACAGCATGACTCAAGGTCAGGTAGGCTGCAAGCAATTTGCCTCCTTCAGTGTCATCATATGTGTTGCTGATGATTGTTAGCTGTCATCAGTCCCTGGGTGGAGACTATAGAACCCGAAAGTATTGGGAAGGAAACATCTAACTATTTCTGATGGAGGAAGCTCCTAGGGTTTAGTCAACCAAGCCTGTATCTAACACCCAGAACAGTTAACATTTAAAGGGCCTTTGACTTAGACCTAATCACTGAAGATGGCTGCTTAAGGCCTGACAGAGGCAGTGCTGTAATTCCCAAAACTCTCCATGTTCAAAGGAGAGCATGAAGGTTGGTACTAAAGTCCCTCCAGTGCCAAGTCCTGATAAGCAGGGCTAAGAGTCCTGACTGTCTGTTTCTCAGTACTAGGACATTCTCAGTACCAGGACATTTGGTCTCTAGCTGGATGAAGAAGCAGAAAACGTGTATTGGTACATATTGGAACCACAAGTTATGCATCCCAATCTACCAGATCACTTCACTATCAGAGTAAGATTTTTCCACCTGTATTTCCATTTCAAGCTAACAGTTTAGCTCATAGGTGGGAAAACTACCGTCTGCGGGCCATATCCAGCCCATGGGACCCTCCTGCCTGGCTCCTGAGCTCCTGCCCTGGGAGGCTAGCCCCAGCCCCTCCCCTGCTGTTCCCCCTCTCCCGCAGCCTCAGCTCACTGCGCCACTGGTGCAATGCTCTGGGTGGCGGTGCTGCGAGCTCTTGCCGGGCAGTGCAGCTGCAGAGCCCGGGCCTGACCCGGTGCTCAGTGCTGCGCAGTGGCATGGCTGGCTCCAGCCGGGCAGCGCAGCTGCCTCTCTTGGTGCTCTGGACGGCACAGCTGTAGCGCTGCCAGCCGCCAGTGCTCCAGGGAGCACAGTAAGGGGGCAGGAAGCAGAGGGGGTTGGATAGAGGGCAGGGGAGTTCGGGGTGGTGGTCAGGGGGCGGGGTTGTGGATAGGGGTCGGGGTGGTCAGAGTGGGGAACGGGTTGAATGGGGGGCTGGGGGGGGGGGGGGCAGTCAGGAATGAGAGGTGGAGGTGGTGGGAGGCAGTCAGGGGCAGGGGTTCCGGGCGCTGTCAGTGGAGCAGGAAAAGGGGGGGTTGGATAGGGGCTGGGGCCGGGCCACGCCTGGTTGTTTGGGGAGGCACAGCCTCCGCTAACCGGTCCTCCATACAATTTTGGAAACCTGATGCAGCCCTCAGGCCAAACAGTTTGCCCGCCCCTGGTTTAGCTTCTGGGTTAGTTGGGCACTAGATTGGGAACTCTACAGAGGGGAGTCCAAAAGATTATATTGGAAAGCAGGAAACATTCTACATGGAAAACTTCTTTGATGAATGAAGTCGTGGAAAGATTCTACTTTCTTAGAAAAGAATGGACTAGAGGTGGTCCTCCATCCTTTCTAATTTTTGAGTACCTAATAGTGAACTTAATGAAAGTTTTGACTGTTCATCTAGCTGCCAGTTCAGCTTTTCACCTTTTCAAAGCATGGATCATGAATTTTAATTCATTGTGTGGTTACAAAGCTTGTTCTGCATTCTCCCTCCAGTGTATGAATATAGTCTTTGTTCTGTTTCTACAGTGCCTAGCACAGTAAGATCCTGGTGCATGATTGGGGCTCAGAGATGTTACCACAGGACCAATTAATTAATCATACTAATGCTCATAGATCCACTGTTTTGAGCTTAGGGGCACATCACAGTTTTAAAAGTTTCCAAAATGCGCCTTTACAATGTCTCTCTCAAAAAATGTACGATTCCTACTTTGCGCTCCAGACACATTTATGAAAGCCTTATTTCCTCAATTTGTCCTCCTAGATCTGTGCCCAGTTTGAGAGCAGTCCTGCAGTGACTTCAGCTACTAATTTCTCTCACACCACCTGGAAGGTCACAACTGCTTGTTAATTTCCAGAACTGGGGAGCCATATGAGCAGTTCTTGAAGGCGAAAAAGTGGTGTCTTACCCTAATGACTGATTTTTGGAAAATGTCCATATGGATCCACACACCTCAGCCCATTCCAACTAGTCTCTCTCTTGTTCGGGCTATTCAGTTAATTGAAGGAACTGAGAGTGGTTGGGGTCCATGCCCTCTCTTAAATTCTCACAACTAAACAATGGGATGCAAGTGGTCTCATTAGACAGTACTTGATAGAAGTTTCCAAAATCATGTGCCAGGGATGCACTTCTCCCAAGAATATGGATGGACATACATGGTTATTTTGAGAAAAATCCGTTACTGTACATAATCATTCTGTGATGTATGAAATCTGTAAGGAAAATATTTTAACATTCAGCATTGCTATATTTTCATAGCTACTGAAATTCATTGGAAAGCAAATGTGAGTTACGTTTACTAAGAGTTACTGCTATACACCTTGTCATTTCAAAATATATAGAACACTTTTTTTCTTTTTACCAAGAAAAATAACCTGACGTAAAATTGTTCCCATGAACTTGTCATGAGAGGAATGACTTAAATAGAGTAATCTTACTAAGCGCATTAACTTCTTCTTTGAATAGTGTCCATATGGTTACTCCACTTCAGGATGTGTGTGTGCCCATACACTTTTGATCCCTGGGTCCACACCTGCATCATAGATATCTTTGGGCTCTGGTGAATGGGTGGGACAGATCTGCTGCTGCTCCAGTTGTTTCTCAGTTGCCTGTGGCTTGAGACAGAGCAGTGCACTGTTAGCTGTAGCTAGCCAGTGACTTGCTGCTCTTATTGTTTGTTCATTCTGTCATTCTTTTATTTTATATGTTTTTTTGAATTTGTTTATTTAACACAGCTTTGTGCTTTTGTGGAGTTCCACCTTTCCTTCTTTTATTTGCCCAATCTGGGATATTTTTATTCTTTCAGACCTCAGTCCACAGCCACAAGTAGTGAGTTATGCCAGCGGTTCTCAAACTTCATTGCACCATGACCTTCTGACAACATAGTTTGAGAACCCCTGAGTTATGCCCAAGACCCCAGGCTTCAAACTCTGCCAGGCCTGCCATAGGCCTTTTCCTTGCAGTGACAGGCATTCAATATGTCTCCACTGCCTGGGAGAGACTCGTGTCCCCGCCAAATGTACGATCTACTCAGGAGTTAAAAGCGGATCAAAAAAGTTGGAGATGAGACTAAAACTCCTGTTGATGGAGCATTCTCTGAGACCCTGGGGTCCAAACCACCACCTTTATACATTGGATTTGGTTGTTCAGAGCAGCCTGGTGCATCACAGTTGCTATGGTAAGCAAACCCTGGGGTCCTTCAGAACCATCCAGACTCCAAAAAAAAAAAAAACCCCATTTTACAGAGCAGGATAAGAGCAAGGAAAAGTCTTGATCTGTGCCAGGACATGAAGACAGACTCAGGAATTGGTGAGGCTCTTACCCACTCTGGTCACAAGACTGCAGCATCAGCTAAAAAGACCACATTGCATACTGAGAAGCCATTGGTAAACAATCTAGAGTGGTGTCAGCACTGGACTCCGTACCTTCAAAGCAAATGAATTTTAAAGCGGAGCTGAAACTGTTGTTGATACAGTCTTATGTACCCAGCTGAGATGGGAATATGGATTGCACTTCAGTACCCTCTCCTGTACCACATTATATATGCTGAGTCCCAAGGGTCATTCTCCTGATTCTCTGGTGCCATCCTGGCTCCTTTTCCATGAGGACCTTCAGATCCTGGAAGAACTCAAATTGCTTTTACTGAGGGATACTGAAAGAGTTCTCGCTGGTACCAACTTATCTTCTGGAGTCCACTTGCCCTCCAGTCCTGCCATCCACAGTAATTCATCCTCTGATACCAACACGGTCAACGGCCTCTCACAATTTGAGGGTACTGAGAGGGACTTTCAGCTGGTACCCCTATCCTCCAATACAGTCTTGCTGCCCAATTGAGTCTTGGCCTCCAGATGCAGTAACCAGACCCTTTCCAGTCCCCAGTACTGACTTGACAAACTGCTGGTACCAGTACCACTTGCCCCTCCGATGGACACTGCTGCGGGCACTTAATCTGATTCAGAGGTGTCCAAGGCTCCTCCTCCTTTCTCTTCTAGCCTCCCTCCCTTAAGGTGCATCCCAAGGAAGAAATTACACCCAGCAACTTTGGGGTCCTGCCCTCTTCCCTTATGCCCCATGAGAGTTGGCTTATTGGAACCCAAGGGCCCCTTATGGTGATCAGCTCTACAGGGTCACTTCTTGTAGGAGGGCATGCCAAAAACAACTGACATCCTCAAGTCCTGCTCCATAGGGGGAACTTACAGAGGAGCAAGAGCTGGCTGGAGAAGCAGAAATACCACCTTCCCACAAATCCTCTTCCTCACTAGATGAGGCTGTTATGTCTCCCTCACCATCTTAGGCTGATAATTTCAAGGCCTTTCAAGATCTTATAAAACAAATGTTCTTGTATCTCCTGTTTGAGGAGATACAAGAACATTCTACATATATCTCGGAGCAAAATCACTTTGCCCATCAATGATGCTCTGCTGGCCCCAGCCCATATGAGGTGGCATGGTAGCTAGAATTTGTCACACATGTATAAATGAGCTGACACACATTATATACCGCCCAGAAGCTTGGAGAATTCTTTTCTCCCATCCTATACCTAACCCCCTGGTGGCTGAGGCCATTAACGAACAAAATAGGCACGGTTGGTCCTGTTCAACACTATCTGACGAGCTAAAATGGCTGGCCATTCTGGATTGTAAAAGCTACTCCTTGGCCTCTTTGCAATTCAGATTAGCCAATTACCAAGCCCTGATGGCAAAATATGATTTTACAAGTTATTCAAAGAGTACATCTTTTATTGAACACATGCTACAGGTGAAACAATTTCAAGCCCTCCTAATGGATGGCCAGACAGTCACAAGTGTTTTTCAAAACTTCACTGAATGCCGCTATGATGTCCAGCCTCATTTTGACAATACACCTCTACCTCGATATAATGCTGTCCTCGGGACCCAAAAAATCTTACCGTGTTATAGGTGAAACCGCGTTCTATCGAACTTGCTTTGATCCATCAGAGCGCGCAGCCCCATTCCCCTGGAGCACTGCTTTACTGAGTTAGAACACAAATTTGGATATATCAGGTCACATTATATCTGGGTAGAGGTGTACAACAGAACCCGCAAACCACAGCAAGGGCTTGCCTTCAATTCCTGGGCCATATGGCAGCCTGTACGTTTGTGATCCACTTAGCAGTGGCAGATTAGCCACTGGCCTGTGCCCAGGGGCCCCAGAGAAAAATCCGCTGCTGGGCAGCAGAAGCCCCCAGTGCTCCCTGACCCCTCCCTGGCAGAAGCCGCAGGACAGGCAGGGCAGGAGTAGCCCCAGTGCTCCGACCTGGTCCCCCACAGAAGCGCAGGGGAAGCCCCGGCACCTGGACCCTAGCTGTGGCCATGGGACTGGAGGAACTTTGGCTCCATTCTTGGGGCTGCAGTGGGGGGAGGAGGGTGCAGAAAGGAGCAAATGGGTTGTGGAGAGCTGCTGTGGCGGGGGCGTACAATGGGGGGACTGTGGGTGAACAGGCATGGGCCCCAGAGAAGGGGCAGAACGGGTATGGGACTGAAGGTGCAAGGGGTGGGGTAGACCGTCCTCCTACCCCCCCAAACACACTTGCTCTGGCCCAGGACCCCAGGAAACCTTAATCCACCTCTGCCACTTAGCAAGACTACACTCTTGGTGTCTTCACGCCTGGCTGAGAACTATCGATACCCTCCAAAAAAGCAGTCTACTCAAGTCAAAACTGTGTCCATACCTCAGAGGTCCTTCATTCTCTTAATTGGTGAAAAGATTCTCTCAAAAGTATGCATGGGAGTTATGTTCTCACAGCCTCCCACCCCCAAGGATCATCACTACAGGTGCCTTCCTGCTGGGCTGGGTTATGCACTTCATGACTTCACAGCTCGCCAAATGGAACCTGCAGAAGGTGATCCTGCATATCAACATATTAGAGCTCAAAGAGGTCCATTACTCTTCTACTCAACATCAAGAGCACCCGATCAGAATAATTCTGGATAGCAAAGCAGTAGTGTATTATATTAGTCGTCAAGGAGGAGCAAGATTCTAGCCCTTCGGTGCTGAATCCATATCACACCACCTACAGATCTCTGTTTCGCTACCAGGACTTCAAAATAGTGGTAGATTGCCTCAGCAGGCATTTCAACCGCTATCACAGGTGGGAGCTGAACAACGCGGTATTCTGAAAGATGTCATACCTGGGGTCATCTGGAGATAAATCTCTTTGTATCAGCATCCCAAGCGATGTGCAGACGACTGTTTGAGGGGAAGGCAAAGCCCCAATTCGATGCAACACCGTAGTCATCCTTTGGCCTCATGTATTGCTATATGCTTGCCCCGAAAGCCATTACTGCTCAAGGTCCTGAATAAGTTGAAACAGAAGCCATCCTTCTAACATCATCGTGGCCAAGATACAGGTATGATTCGCAGAGTTGGTTCACGTCTGACAGAGGATCCCCTTCTCCTGACAGTGGATCTTCTCACTCAAGAGTCAAGATCCATCTCCTGCCCCAACCTCTCAGTGCTTCACCTCAAGACATGGCTATTAGATGATTTTTTGGTGTAGAACAAAACTTCGCACTAGAGATACAAAGAGTACTACTTAATAATAGAAAACCCACTAAAAAGAAAAATTTATCTACAGAAGTGGAAACTCTCAGGCTTGATGCAGCCCCTGATCTATACCTCCTCTCGAATCTTGTCTGATGTACTTGCAATTACCTGCTAAATTAAAAAAATTTCAGAATTATTGCTGAGTTCAGTTTAAGTTCATGTGGCTGCCATCAGCTTCTCTCTCTCTCTCTCTCCCCCATACGCACACCCACACCCATTGAGGGATTTTTATTCTTTATCCACCCAACCACAACGAGGTTCATTAGGGGTCTGTTCTACACTTTTCCTCTTGTTAAGAAACCCATTCCACCGTGGGACCTCAACTTAGTCCTTATTGTGATGAGGAAACCCCCATTTGAACCTATGGGGAGCCCTCCATTTGGCCCTCCAAACTGTGTTCTTTATAGCAGCTATCTCAGCCGGGTGGGTTGGAGGAGCTGGGATTCCTGATGGCTTATCCACCACACACTGTATTCTGTTGCTAAGTGGTGTCCACACTCTCGCTTCCTACCTTAAGTTTCTTTAGGTTTCCACATTAATCAGGAGATTCACTTACTGGTATTTTATCCCAAGCCTCACTCTTTGAGGGAACTGAGCCTGTATACACTAGATGTAAGAAGAGCTCTATCATTTACCTCAACAGAACGAAGCACTTCAGGACTTCCCCATGGCTTTTTCTCTCAATCGCAGAACTAATGATAGGGCACCCAATCTCCACCCAAACACTGTCTAAATGGTTTTTGGGATGCTTCTTAATCTATTTATGAAACCTCTTCCCCTCCTAGCGTGATTGCCCACTCCACCAGGGCTCAGCCTAGCTGTGGCCTTTCTGAAAAACCTTCCCATCTCAGACATCTGCAGGGCAGTCCTTGTAGTCTTTAGTGCACATGTTTTCTTAGCACTGTGCTCTCATGCCTACTTCCAGCGCTGATACAACTTTTGATGATGCTGTTTTATGGTTTATACTGAATCTATCTCCTCTGTAATTGAGGGTACTGCTTGGGAATCTCTTGAAGTGGAAAACCCATACAGACACTACTTGGAGAGGTAATTTACATGGTACAGAAAGTGGAGTTTTTTGAGATGTGTTCCTATGGGACCTCCACTACCTGCCCTCCTTCCCTTCTGCATCAGTCTTCTCACTGGACTTTCGTGATTGAGAAGGAACTGGAGTAGCTGAGGGTCTCATCCCCTTATATCAGAGCACAAGCATATCTAGAGAATATGTATGAACACTAGAAAAATTCCAGTCAAGAGTTCATGGGTACACACATGTCCTGAAGCAGAGCCTCCTTAGTGGGGCACATCTCCAAGAACTTCAATTACTGTACAAGGTAAGTAACCTCTCCTTACAATTCCCTTTGTACCTTTATTTCATAGTGATTTTAAAAATAATAATTTTTAAAGTAACATGAGTGAGTTAACGTGCATACCAAAGTTTATTTTGGACTTTGGTTATAGCATGGCAGTGCAGAAGTGGCCTGAAGTTGCAATCCCCACTTTCTACTGCAGGGCAGCTTGTCATGCTGTGTGAGATGTGAAAATACTGGTATGCTAGTAGTGTGGCCATCAGAGGCTAGACGCTGTTGGCATTTTGCTTTCTGTCTGCTATGGCTGTAACGAGTAGAATAGGAATGGAGCACTGATTAAAGCAACCATACTGAGAATAATTGAA